TGCCAAGGAGCACTACTTATTAATTTTTTACAATTTTCCATATTCTGGTCAACTCTCTGTGCTTGGATGCATGTATGTAGATCCTCACAAACAGAGGGACAAAACGGTGTATTATTATCCTTCCCTGAATCAATAATCCTTATCAATTTATCGCATGAAACTTGTACACATATCCATGTACAAAAGAGTTGGACTTTTTTTCATGAAAAGTACGGCTAGTTTTTCAATGTGCTTTCACTCTCAACTTTCCAACCAGATTTGAAACAAATGCCAGCAACATGGACGGAAAAACACGTCGATCGATAAATGAATGGTATGCAGTAGTGATTGGGGAGTGATGGCATCGGGAGCGTCAGTGTTATTGACTATTTTGCTTGCTACTTGGACGGAATAAAGCAGCTGCCACTTTCCATATGTATTACCCTCCCTCGCCATTAGTAAGGATTAGCATCCGCTCAGCTCATCCCCAGCAGAACCACCTCCAAGGTTTACTTGTAATGACAGTTTGTGACTAAATTCCCCATTTGTGCCAAAGTCACGTTGGCCACCAGCAGTGCCGTCCCAAAGGCTCACCATCCGCTATCCGAGCACAAGTATGATTATTAGCGATGATTACGACCACTTAGTGATGTACGTTCCCGTCGGAGTGCAAAGTCGTCCCTCTTCTGCCGTGAAAGACAAGTCGTGTGATGGTGGTGTTAGGTGAAAGCATGCATGTCGCAGACTCCGTGAAGGAAGGAAACCCATGGCCCACTGAGCAAAGTAAAGAGCGTGGGCCGTGGACAAAGAAGAGATTTCGTGTAGATGAAGATTTCGCCCATTGTTCATTTCCAGCAAAGTTTGAGAATGAGTTGAAAATAAATTTCTGAGAACCTCGCACCATGCAAAATGTCGACGACGACACCACTTTTAAATGAGAGAGGGATGATGAAGGCTAAAGGTCGGCATCCCTACACAACTCGGGACTTTGAGTGGGATTGTGTTCCCAAAATTAATTACCCAATAATTTCCGCTTTGAAAGTGACGTCGGAGAATTCCACAGTGTCACTCACGCTAACCTTGGCTAATTTCCTGCATAGCCATCAATCACACACACACACACTCATTGTCCATTTCCCTCGTTGCCTGGAAAGAGTGGGTGTCTTGCCCCCTCCCCATTAGGCAGCAGAGGAAGTCTTAATTGAAACTCTATGCAAACACTTCCGAATTCCGCAGCCTGACAACCGCATCCCTTCCGGAGCAGAAGTCTCCATAAATCACACAACCACCGATTCTTCCTTCGTCCCTCTTTGTGCGGAGGCCAAGAAGTTGCGGTTCTCAAAAGTGAATGGGAAGAAAAGAGTTGTGAAAAGTGAAAGGTTGGTTGATGAGTGATGAAAGGGAGGCATAGCTGACATATAGCAATAACAGAGCAGGGCAGGCATATAGCAATGCACAGATTATATACGTAGGTAGATATGTATATAATAAATGTATGTATAGCACTGTTCGTAAATTGAGAGAAAGCAGCAAGTCCACTCCACGGCCTGACTGACAGCTTTCCCGACTCATAATTAAGTGATGACTTTATGACGATGATGATGATGATGTTTTCAACGGAATATCCAACCTGTTCAAATCATTCGATTGTGTGGAGTGAAAAAGAAATAAAGAACTGCGCCGTGTCGTATCTCCAACTTTTCCTTCTCTCCCTTTCTTTCGCTCTGGGCCCACGTCGAGAACAATGGGAAAGTCGTCGAGTTGTTGGGAAAGCTCTTTTGTTGGCGGTACGGCCGTGTCCGGTATTTTGTGAAAAAAAGAAAGAAAGATGAAAGCGGAGGATGGTTTTGTAGTCCAAGGTCTGAGTTATGAGCAGTATTTGTGTCTATGTACTTATGTGTATTTTGCGCCACGGCATATATGGCGTGCAATGATGAGGCGGAGGAGATTACAGTCTGGGTGAAAGTCAATACTTGACCATTTGTGGGTAGGATACGCGACAGGGTGTGGAATTGGACTGGACGCGACCTCCTCTATGATGGACAGCACTGAAATACAGATACTACCTATTCACACCTTGGATGAAGATTCCACCATATCCCGGACATGAATGACTGACTGACTATAAGACGAGTGGGTTAAGCTAACGGCGACTTCATTCCACAACAATGGGAAGAAGACACATGGATAGAGACGGAGAAAATAGGAGAAAATGCGAGGGAGCAACGTTTGGTCAATATCGGAGGAGGGGGACACTCCCTGATTTGTTTACCTTACACTCAATCACCCACCCACCCACCAGTTACTTTTCTCCTTCTTCTGAATGTAAATGACAGGCCGAGATTCGTGCTCCGACGTGAGGCCCGTGACTCTGAGCACACAGAATGCGTGTCTTTCTGTAGATACTCTTTAGTGGCCCGATCCATTTCCTTTATTGCTTTCTCCTCCAGATTTGAAAAATGCAAGGATGGCCATCCCACCCGACAAGGTCGGAGAATATATTAGGCAACTTCCCTTTCAAGCTTGGGGTTAAAGAATTCCTCGTTAGTCTCAGTTCTCCTGAGGACGAAATGATTGACTTGTCGCCAAAAGGGCTGATCATTCATGAATGTAATTTCTACTAAGGCAAAAGTGTAGCACATTTCCATGCTTTCACTGGAACGAATCCATCAATTCCAAAGGGAAATTCAGAGAACTGGTTCTTGAAGTTGGGCAGATTTGTGGCATAAATAAGTTGTCGGTCTGAGTTTGACAAGGCAAGTCTGCATGTCAAACAGGTAAACATGTGCAGTCTAGTGAGGGAACAGACTTTTATATTGCTTGCAACTCCAACCTTTCTCTCCCTCGCTCGCCCCATTGATTCAAGTCACAAACAAGCAAAAACTAGTCAAGCCAATACTCATCCTGCAACATACGTGTTCTTGGTATTCCAGAAGACAAGATTTCGAGTGGTTAACAAGTTTATGCAGGTTGAGGAAATATCGCAGAGATTGTGAAACCATATTGGAATTTTTCAGCATTTTTGTACCTTTACATTTTGATTGATTGAGGCAAAGAAGAAAAAATATGTATCTACTTTGAACCACGATACGTCAGACGAATCGCATAAAAAACCTTTGCTTACATTGGAATTTTGAAACAATATTTTGTGAGCCCTGATTTTGAATTTTCCATTCAAGAGGATTTGAAATATGCGGAGGAGGGGACGGAAGAGCAACAGGAGAGAGATTTCCCCTCCCGTAATCTAAGCGGAGATCAAAGCAGTGGAGTTTGCCTCTCTTTTTTTATTAGACCCTCAGCAAACTTTCTGTCCTCTCTCTCTCGCTGAGCAATAATAACCAGGCCCACATTGTGCGAGGTCTCATTTTAAGTGGAATTTGCATAACGAGTATGAAACGATGTTTAAATTATTTTTTTAATTTACGACCTTCACTTCCTCCGAGAAAGGTGGACGAGGGAAGAATAGAAATTGATGATTATACAAAAGCACTGGAAAATTACGACAAACAGGACGGAGAGCAAAGCCCAAGTATATAATCTTTGAGTGTACATGTTTAAGATTGCAATATGCTCAGAAAGAAAGTTGGTGGTGGGAGTCTTATTTATTTTAGTCTATTTATTTCGTTGAGTGGAGGTGAGCACGAGAGCTTCGTTTGTTTTAGCTTTCTCGTTAAAAAATAAGGGTAGACTTGAAAAAGTTATTGATAAGGAGTCGAGTAGGCATATCACACACAAGCTGGGAAACTAAATGGCCTTGTGAATTGTTTGTGTTGTGCTATAACTTACAATCGTCAAAAACGAGATGAGGGGAAAGCAAATACTTTGAAAAAAGAGTTTGCGTAATTGAGAGAATCCGACGTCAACTTCCCAGTTTCCTCCGTCTCATGGCAATTCAAAGAGACAATAATTAACCTTGACAAACAGACAGAGACGGGCAGACGGATACACGTACGTACTTGGGTTGTAGCATTTTTCTCCATTATTGCATGACTTTTCCTAAAGAATATATGTTGCCTCAAGGTTTCTACCATGCCATATCCATCACAAGTAATTATTGAACCAATATTTTTGAGACACTCCCTTTCCAGTTTTTAATCAAATTTTACTAATATCATAAAATGGCGATAGTTGTGAAAATTGGTAACGAAAACGCAGCAACCTAACGGGTTATATACGTCATGGGGGAATATAAGACTCTGAAACTGCGAGTTAGAAGGCTTGTTTGCCCTACTAGGAGCGTTAGTATGATGAAAAATGCCCTAATAATTTCCACCCCTCCTACTTGGCAAATTTTGTGTCAATACTGAATGTTTGTCTGCCATGTATATTTAATTATGACAAGGCAAACCATTCCTGTCTGCTCGTAGGAGGACGACGCGTGAGGAAGCGACAACACACCACTTACTCAACTTTCGAGATTTGCTTTCCACTAATTGCGACAACTTTTCTCTGCCTTCGTATGAAATTTCGCAAGCGATGGTAAGCAGACGTGGATGGGCGTCATCGGAGAAAGTGACGGAGTGAGTGAGACTCCTTCTTGAGACTTGTCTTTCTAATTTAATCCCTCAGGATCTCATTACACTTGCAGCGAGCACTAATCCCTCTCCGCCCCGTCTCAATCTGGCTGAATCTATGTATGAGCACTGAGCAGGACGGTGAGAACGACCGAGATTTTCGATTGTGCTTGTTTGCTCAATTTAGAGTGGCACCCGGATTAAAGTTTAAAACCATAAAACGGTGTAATTTGTTTCCCTTACATTTTATTTTGTTTGCTATTTGTTCTTTGTCGTCTCACCGTGTGTGCAAAGAGGATGGAATGGAATCCTCTTACGACCAAAAAGTCGGAACCTGAAGCACTTCTATGCACATCGGCTCCACTTTCACTCTACATATGTACAGACGTCCACACTGAATTCAAAGACTGATTTACGAGACGCAAAACATTTCAACATTGAGCAGAAAACCTGCAAGTCTCAACTGCATAAGTGATTTGGTACTTTGTGCAAATACTTATTGCTTACCTTAAAGTTGCGAACTTTTGACCGAGTCGGAACAAAAACAATACAACTTTCTTCCTTCTGCTTCAAATTGGAAATGTTAGGACTTCACAAATCCTTCAAGAGGCTATTACACTCACTAATTATACTTCTTCTTGCAACATTTTCCACCACTTTGCAAAAATTTTGAAGGATTTTTTTTTTCGGTACGGCGATTACTTTTCGCTTTTCACGGGAAACTTTTAAAGTGGATGCAAAAAAATTAGTATGATTTTTTAGAAGGAATAAAGGAGACGAGTTGGAGAAGAGAATGCTAGGTTGATGCCTGTGGAGCGGACACTGTCGAACTGACTGGGCCAAAACTTGGGGTTGTAGGACTTATTCTGCTCCTTCTATCCGGGTAGCAGTAGCGGTGACGATGGTCCACTTGGAGAATGGTGTTGGGACGGGTTGGCTTCGGGAGGAACTCTTCTGCATTCCGTGGGCCTGTCTCAGGTTTCGCTGCACACAAAGAAGGGCAACTTCCAGCACCAGCCGAATGATAAATTCTCCTTCATGAAAACCTGAGATTTGGGAATAATAATTGAAATCAAGACTGACTGACATGGTATCATCAAACCTGTGATTTTCTTTCTATACGAAGTTTTTCTCTGTGCGAAGAGCTGAATTAAGTTGATTAGCAATCACATTACAGATTCAATCAACGTGTACACGAGCCTTTTATTCACACTAAACTGCACCCAAGTAAGCATATAGCTAGTCGTGATGCGATGTAATGTAATCCATTCACATTCTCCTTCTCGTATAAAATATACGACCAGGCATTACTCTGTCTCAAGCAATAAATAAGGAAAAAGAGGAGTTTCAAGTGTTGTGTTTTGTCTCAACAGCTCGCACTTTATGAAAAAAGTTTTCCCAAAGAAGTCAAAATTTCAATTAGCGAATGTTGTGAATGGTCGCGTTGAAGGAACAAGTCCAAGTTTTAAAAGTTTTCGTCTGAAAGAAAGAACTAGCAGGACTAGGAAATGAGAAATTGTAGTCGTAATATGAGCCCACAGGCTCCTTCTCATTCTTGCAAAACTGACTGAATATCTAATATTTAAACAAACTCTTGTCCGTAATTAATCATGGAGCTGTCAGCAGCCACCAAATCGCCTCCTATATTTAGCCAAGGACTCGACGTGTCAAGGGAAATATTGGGAGATTGGAAATTCTCCAACCGAACATATTTATGCTGGTTGGTGGGTGAGTACATGGAACAAGGGCGGCGGAGGGTGTGGTGTGGGTGCAAGCAACCTATTTAATTATTGCCTCGTTATCCAACATCACTCACTCATTCACACTGAAAACTTTCTCCGAGTGGACTCAAGAGAACAAGTTCCCAGAATTGCGGCGTAAAACCGTCCCATCAGATTCCTCACAATGCAACCATTCACTCAGCAAATATGTTTTGTTGTCATTTTAAAAATAAAATTATATCTGATAAATATTTTGCTTCTGTGTATCACGAAACGAGTGTCCAATCACAGTTATTATTGATTCGACGCGTCATTTAGAAACAGAAAACTTCCATATTCTGGACGAATATATAAATAAATTGCGTATTTAAAGAATAGTATACGTTTGTAGTATTGTCCTTTTCAAGTTTTGCAACAACTCGTCGTGTCGTTTCTTCCACCTAAAATAACAGTGACAATGTGAACGCAAGAGAGAAAAATGTGCGGCTGGAATTCAATGAGCATTACTAATCTAAGAGGCATCTGCCAAACGGGATGTTGGGTCCCATTTTTACTTTATGCTTGACAAATTCCAAAACGAATTAATAATGCTTCGCACCATTGAGATGAGATGTGAAATACTAATAATAATGCGGATTTATGTGGCTATTTATTCAAAAGGAAGGGTGGATGGAGGACGACATTTCTTCTAATTTTTAAGACGCACTTTAATTTAGTTGTCAATTTTTACTGTATACACTGTTAAGTAGTTTAAAGCCTAGCGTACAGTTGGCTATCCGCATAATGGTGTTTCATTGAGCGAAAGAAAAATGTGGGCAGAGTTTTAATCAGCAATAACTTGCTTTACAACATTAAGCTTGTCAATTACGCCAAAGGGTTCGCTCGAGGAGCAGAGTCGAGAAGAGGAGCGTGAATGAAATAATGTCCATGTGTCAAGGAAGGCTATATACGTACTTGGGAACGTACTGCTTCAGTAATCATTTCTGATCAGCTCGATCGTGTCGTGACATTAACCTCGTTACTTATTAAACGTCGCCAAGAAGGCAAGTTGTTGATTCGATTGAAGGAAGCAACAAATAATGAATGGTGAACTCCTCTCGCTTACTTGCACTGATTTTTCTATTTGTATTGGCTTTCTCTTTACTTTACCTTTCATCGCTGGCTCTTTCGGACGGAGATGTTAGTTTCGCTGTCAATCGCATCTCTTGAGATCAGCACCACGTAACGTAGGCCGTCCTGTTTGCTAGTGAACTGGGGATGATCACCTGCAGAGGAGTGATGGGCACACGTCCATAAATTGTCATCGTCCTCCAAAGCTCGAGCCATTCCCCACAAATTTCTATAATTATTTGCACAGCTGTGCAAATAATCTCAACAAACTCATCAACCAACCATCATTTTCCAGGGCTGCTTAATGTTGATGGGAACAAGTAAGTATTCCCACATGTTCATTAACTAACTGCTCTGGTCTGTTGCTAATAATAATAACGTGGGGTCTGGCTGCGTTGGGAACGATTAAGACTTTATTGGGCGAGATAACTTTACGAGAATGATATTCAGGAATTCACCGTCGTAGAGAAAACAAATATAGGCGTTCCTCTCTCACTCCACATTCAACCAACCAACCATGATGTCACTGTTTATTCACTCATTTACGACAAAAATAATCACTCTCCTCCATCCAGACCCCCTTCCTTCCTTCCCAAAGGCTTGGATAATGCTTAACAAAATTTATAGATTTTTCCACCTTTCAGCCAGAAGCACGGATGGATGGACGTAAACGATCCAGTTCCTCCTCGCTCCTTGTTGTGTGCCTTGTTGTCTTAAGGGGGCAAATCCACAAAGACTTGAGCGAGGAGGATGCAAATGTGGGATGTGTTCACATGGCACAGCTTTCTCCTCTCGTGCTACTGCATGGCTGTGTGTGCATTGTTTATTCTGGTTCCATCCACCACTCCGGTAATTCATGCATGTCTTCCAGTACTTGTTGACGAAGCTGTTTACGGGCCGGACTGGATTTCTCTTTTTCAAAGTGCAGGTTCATTTCTCTCCGCACTCTGGCAGAGCATACGTACATACGCAGATCATAATCGTAAAGCAGTCCCGTTTGGGAACGAAATGGGCGCAGGATAGGAGCAGTCTTTTTACGTTTTTATGATGGTTTTCTCTAATCACTACACTGCTCCTGGTTTGGTTGGAGGAAAGTACAAAACATGGGCAATTACATTTTCCGCATATGGAAAGATCCCATTCTCGTTCAATGGTCATACTACATGTATTCCGCTGCTGCTTGGATAAGGATGAGTGAGCCCATGTGTGTCTGGAGGCACAAAGAACTTTTATTTTATTTTATTGCGTTCGGTTGTAGAGGAGGAAGTGATCGGATTGGGTCATGTTTCCAATAAATTCTTGCACAAACTGCTGAAATGAGACAAGTGTAGTTGAAAGTCGTTTCAACGTATGTAGCCTAAATCAACATGCACTCCCTTCTTGGTCTGAACATCATGCAAGCGGAGGAGGCGGAGGAGGAGGAGACAAGACGGTGTGGGAATCGGTGGTATCGGATTTTGAGAAATGAAAATGTCCTCCCGATGTCGAAAATGTGTGTCGTGTAATCTGAGCCCTGTTTTGCTATCATCTCCTCCTGTTGCTAAATGGAACAATAACAATGAACTCATCCAACAAAACGAGCATCGTTCCCTATTGCTCAGAAACTAATTCGCAATTCCTGTTGATTCAGCACATTCGCAATTTGCTCTTTCTTCATAAGCATTCTCCAAAGTCTTTAGTTTCAGAGCCAATTAAACGACAAAACTGCTTTCGTATACATAAAATCCAACTCTACTGTGTTGTCAATTCACTTGTTTGTTATTGTTATTCGACCGAGTGCATTAGTAACAACAAAACCCAAGTAAAACTTATCCGCAACTAGACAAACGGATCCATTTTCTCGAAAGATCAATTTTCCGAGTTCTCGTATTTGGAAAATGAAAAAAATGTAAACGAGGGAGGAGGCGATGAAGAGAGTGCAAATACGAACGTGTGTGTGTGTAGGATGAGGAGGGGAAAGCATGCTCTAATTGAAATCTGAGGCTGGGGAAAGCGCCTCCAAATTAATTAAGACGCCCTGTAGGGAATTTGGCAGCTGTGTGGAGTCGTCCTTCACGGGCTGCACGGGTGGATGTATGGACCACCCACCACGGAGCAGAGAAAAATGCAGCTTATCACAAAAAGTATGCGTTACAGGGACTCATCATCTTCCTACGTATTTGGCCTCTGGGTGAGATGTGTGCTCTGCATGTCAAGATTTTGGTTCTGTCTGTTCTTACAACAAATACTTTTTTTCATCACTCTGGTTTCCATCACTTGTTTCATCATTTGTGGGAAAGAAACCAACACCAGATGGACAGATTTGCCATGAAAATGGTGGAAGGGAGTACGATTAATTAGCGTAGAGTTGCTGAACCGAGGTGGCCAAAAACTGCTGATGAGTCATGAACACGGTGACATCTTCATTTGTGATGTTGGCTTGCTTTCTTTCCCTTTTTATTTACGAGGACTTTGTCAGTTAAAATTTCTCAGGAGTTGAACTTGGTGACGTGTCCACCAAAACAAATGGAATAAAATCGTCTGGACAGAGCACCTTTACGCAGCTTTGGCATCCGTTAACCACCTACTTATCCAAGTACAAAGAAATAAAAGAAAGATGACGTATGGAATATGTCCAAAAAATGGACCAGCCAACTTGTCTCTCTTGCAGATCGTGCAGACAAAGTAAAGGCCGCTAGCTGTGTTTTTATTCAGACGGCATAGTGTTTCTCACGGGTTCGGGTTCTTACTTCGGGTTTCGGGTTCGGATTCGGGTTCGGGTCCTGCTTCGGATACGAAATTTCAGAACCCGAAACTTTCAGGTTCGGGTTCGGGTCCGAAAAATCTGATCTCAAAATTTCGGGTTCGGGTCGGGTTCGGGTTCCGACTAACAACCCGAAACCCGAATCAACAAGAATTTTTTGTCACAACGAACGCGAAAAGGTTAAAAAAGAAAATTAAAGTGTTGACCACACTTGCCAAGACGGTTATGCTGCCGTGATTCAGTAAACAATTCAAATTTTTAATTGTCGCAACTTCTTTTCACAAGTGTCTTCAATTAGTGTTATGATTTGAATATTAAAATAAAATATATTTTTTTATCAAAAATTTGCTAACTAGTTAGCTTGAGCATACTTTAATATTGGAAACTTGAAACTGAAAATCATGTTCAGTTTTCAACTAATTTACAAATTTCTGAATAATGGAAATTAAGGGTCGATTTTTTGAGATTGCATTATTGTGGTCGAGGAATTAAAATTCAGCACATTTTAAAATGCATTATGTACTATGCAGAAATGTGCTTAATTATAATTCCTTGGCCATATTTACAGATAGTATTGTTGGTTTGAAAGTTTCCAAAAATTCAGCCCACCCATTAAAATTAAAATATATTCGGGTTTTCGGGTTCGGGTTTCGGATTTGATCTGCTAGTTCGGGTTCGGGTTCGGGTCCTTGCGAACGGGTTTCGGGTTCTTCGGGTTCGGGTTGTCCTCGGGTTTCGGATCAGTGGTATCGGGTTCGGGTTCGGGTTTCGGATTTGCAAGAACCCGACCCGTGAGAAACACTAAGACGGCAGAAGAAACACTAATGTGCAGATGGACGAGATGGCGAAAGAATGAATTGTCACTCACTCATACCTCCCTCCGGTAGGTGGGTGTTTGGCTCCGGACTGCAAAAATACCAGATTTTGGCAAAAGTCCACAAACAACCACCGCAAATAAATGAATACTAAAACATACGATTCAGAAGAAGAACTGGTACATATCCACATTAGTACGTTTTTAGTGCCCTCCACATGTGCCCACATGGAATTTTGTTTGTATATTGCGAGGTTGACAAACATAAATTCATATTTGACTCAGGAAATGTATGCATTCACGTCGGGATTATAATTATTTTATCAGATTTCGTAACATAAAGGGCAAGACCAGCCGAGGGGATCATATTTACACAAAACTTTATTTTTAATGACATTTAATGCCATGTAATGAGGACATTACGCAACAGGATCAGAATGCTAATCCCGAGATAATGAAAGGCTGATGAGAGCAAATGTATGATACATAGATAATCACGGATAAAAGTATTATTACGAAGTTTCATTATGTTCTAGGCTAGAAATGCCTGACAATAATGACGACTAGGTATGATGTTCATATGCTTATGTATGCTGGTGAAAGGAGTCACCAGCTCCTCCGTCCCAAGAAATAAGCTGGATAATAAAACGTGCATATATATTTCCCCCTGCAACATTGGATGAAATCGTGTTCTATGAGTCTTTACATGACCATGGAACGTGGAGGAGAGGTCCATAAGCAGTACGAATGAGTTGACATGATATTATCATACACAGCGAGATAATTGTGTTCCATTCGAGTTGCTGGAGAATCAAATCAAACAAGAAAACCGGGTTTACTTTTACTTTGCACAACCGTGACATTTGCCTGACATTACGAAATGGAACGACATGACATCAATTAGATTTTGAAAGTTCAAAAAGACGCCGTGTTGCAAGACCGTGTCGTTCGTCCCTGTCCCATGAGCAATAAAAGTACTATGATACTTGCGCTCAAAGTGTCGAAAGCATTTTTTATTTGATGGAGCAGTCTAAAACACTGGTAGAAATTGAATCTTCTCAAGTCTATGCACATGCTTTTTTAATAAATTAAATTAAATTAATATTACCATGTCTGCTGTTGTATAACGATCTGTTTGTCACATTGACAAGCTGCATGATGTCGATCTGTGTAAGGGGAAAACAATGATTATGCAACTATTATTCTCGACCTGCCCTTTCACAATCTGGCAGTAGCGTAACACATATCAGCAGATGCGCAACGTGAAGAGTGCCAATTTCGACAGAAGACGATATTTTTCTCTCAATTACTGAATTTAAAATTGGAAAACTTTCTTAGACAGAAGAGAGACGGTTGAATGAAGGGGTTGTAGTAGCCAAATTGAAGCATTGCTTACTGTCGATGAATTCGAATTTTCCAACGAGATTCGAAATTGGGTTGAGCTGAATCATGAGTCGGCATGGAAGATGGTACATACTTTTGCAATAAATTGGATAAATTAGCAGAGTGATTCGCAGAAGAGGGTCTGGCTGAGCTGTAAATGAGGAGGCTGGAGTAAAATAATATA